CCGCTAAAGTAGCCGCGAAAGGAAAACACTTTTGCGCGAAAGTTATCACATTTCGCCGTTCCCAGATATGCGTTATTTTGAACAACAACCATGTCTTTACGGTATAGCGTGCTATAGTGCTTTACGGAAGGTTCAGGAATACTGTTACAAGCTATTCCGGCGTGCACTGTGAAGTGTTTGGGTTTTCCATGGACCCACAAACTCCGATAAACTCCCGCATCGCCAGGGGAAAGTGCCTTTGCTCGGGGTCTCGCCGGCAGTGTCTTGTTGCGGTTTCTTCCGACAGAGGTTTCCTAGGTGCTCCTGATTGCTTAGGAATGATTTTCATTTCATTTGTCTTAGTATGACCTAGCCCTAAACCCTAAACCCTAAGCCCTAAGCCCTAAACCCCTAAACCCTAAACCCCTAAACTCCTGCTCAAATTATTGGGGGCCCAAGGTTTCAACAGCAGCCCAACGAGTCATCAGCATGCTGTTCTCATTCCGAGTCGAAGGCGTTGTTTAGGGTTCAGGGTTAGACTATTTCCACGACCCTACAAAACAATTGGTTATGACTGCACTGCTGTTTTTTGCAGCAGCTTCAGACAGGTGAGTATGATTCGTATGATATAGGGGTCGGAATCATTACCGCTCGTATTACTTGGGTTCCTTATAGATGGGCTATAATGTACCCCGATGCCCTCTTCTAGTCATTAAGGCCCCTGTATTGCTCAGATCATAGATAATCGCCAAGACCGCTATGGCACTTCTTGTTTAGAGCAACCACCTTGGGTCTGTAAGCCCCTCATTGCGCGATATACCTCAATAGATAGGGCGGGGAGCGGGGGGCAGGGCGGGGGGCGGGGGTGATTCAAATGATTTCAGGTATATCAGATAAACCCTATAAAACCCTAGAGCCCTAAAATCACAAACCCTAAACCGTAAAACCCTAAACCCTAAAACCCTAAAGCCCTATACAAACCTAGAACCCTAAAGCCCTAAACCCTAAACCCTAACCGTATGTTTCTTCATAATCGATACGGGGTTCGGAGTATCTGCTTGGAAGCGGTTTAGCCTCAAGCGTTCTGTTTGTGAAAAGTGATGTTTTCATCTTTATGTCACCATGCCGTGGTGGTCTTCGCATCGCTGCTGCTTTTGGTCAGCAGCCACCGTGTCATCGGCTTGCGACGAGGCCTGCTGGAGAGAGACTCAGGGTCAGTGTCAGTGTGCAGGGTGCAATATGGAGGCCTTAATAATTAGACAAGGTTTGATCTATTATTTTGCTATATGTAGTTGTGGTCCTCTAGTGAACCGGTTGGGGTTTGTACCGGGTCCAGTACAACAGTACTTCATGCTTGCTTCACGCGATGTGTTAGCAGTGTTGGCACTTCCTTGTCTGCAGCGCAGACCATGCTGCCAAAACCCTAAACCCTAAACCCTAAACCCTAAACCGTCTAAAACAGATGGTATGCTTATCCTTGTCGACACTTCGCATGCGGTGGGAGATTCCATGTTCCTGCTCATGGCTGGTTCTCTAAATTAGGGTCTTGTTTTATAAGGGTGCCGTACTATATTGTGGACCTAAGCAGGGACCCAAATTTAGAGAACTACCCTCATACATGCATGCTGACTTAACCCAAACTCGGCCAACGCAGCAGAAAGGCCACGACTTGCCCTTCGGGCCCCTTTTCACACCTCAGTTTCCAGGGTCAAAGGTGGCTTATCCCACCAGGACCCTCCTTGTGCCCTCAAAAAGGGGTATATGGTCCCAAACAATGGGTACTTAGGGTCTAAAATGAGTCTAAAAGAGGGTCGATGAAGGGTCGAGGCCATCTCCTCTTTTCTGCTCTGGGGTCAGAATGGGAGCTAAAAGAAGTCGACATGTTGAGTTTCTGCGCCACTGAGAGTGCCTGTGCACAGAGTTATTACCCTAAACCCAAAGCCCCCAAACCCCCCTAAACCCTAAACCCTAAACCCCTAAATGGTTCGACAGATTTTCTGGGCCAACCCAGGTTTCGAGGTATGGCTGTGTTCTTGGAAGTGCGGCTTCCGGACCCTAGACCCCGTGCACCTATCTATCGATCTATCTGGGAGTTTCCGAAAACAAGGTACCTTATTTTGGGGTCTATAGGATCCTACTACTTAGGGTACTATATTGGGATCCCCTATTTTCGGAAACTGCCATATATCTATCGGTCTATCGATCTATCGGTCCGTCTATTTATCTGTCTTATATATCTGTTTTCTATTTTAATTGCCGATCTGTCTGTCTATCTATCTATCTATCTATCTATCTATCTATCTATCTATCTATCTAGCTATCAATCAATCAATCAATCAATCAATCAATCTATCTATCTATCTATCTATCTGTCTACCTGCCTATCTATATATCACTGTCTATCTGTTTATCTATCTATCTGTCTATCTATCTAACTATCTATCGATCCATCCATCGTCTATCTATCTATAAGTGCCGCAGTCACACGTTTGCATCCAGGCATTGCCGAGAAGGAGACCCGAGGCAGCTTCTTGGAACCCGACCCTGCCCGTGCCTGGGCACTGCATTGGCAAAGTGCTGCCTAAACCCTAAACCCTAAACCCTAAACCCAACCCTGTTTATCTCTGTGTTCCTGTCGCTCGGCTCTGCCTATTTGGAACGTTCCATTGCCAGGTTGCGGAGAAGAGCTTCGAATATTCAAGAAGAAGATACAGGACATTTGCGAAGAGGACCGCTATACTATCCCTCGAAACCCTACTTATACTCTATGAGTTTATGATATACGTAAAGACCGCAGTCTAAGTATTGAGGCCCCTGTGTTATCACTGCAGCTGCCGTCCCCCTGGACCCCTCAAGATCAACAGTAGGATAGCGGGAGCCCTTAACCTTAAGCCCATCCTAAACCCTGAAACCCGAAAAGCCGCACAAACCTTTGAGCTTTACAAGCCTCCCAGACTCTCAGGAACAGCAGCCAACAGCCCCCTAAAGTGGGTTTAGGGTTTGAACCCCTGGACTCTGGCCCGAGACCCCGTTTCAGGACCAGCAGAAGGGTAAGACGGTTTCTGACGGAGGCTGCGAAGCGGAGGTGGGAGAACTTCGAACTTCGAAATGGTATTCCGATGACGATGACCCCCACCTTTCCTCTTGGCGATAGGGGCCTTAATTAGAATAGGGGTTTAGGGTTTCCGTATTATCACTATAGTATAACAGACCGCACAACCCCATTCTAATTACTAAGGCCCCTACATTAGACTAAGGGCCGTACGTGAATACACCAGCACCCAGACCCGGAAGGGCTCATCATGCAGGACCATGGGTTTAGGGCCAGTCTAGGGTTTAGGGTACCCTCTACTACCTTAAGAACCCCAAAACCTACTTTTTTGTAGGGTCCCTATAAATCCCATATTAGGGTGTATAATAAGAACTTACAAAAAGGTGGTTTTGGGTTCTTAAGGTAGACCCCAAATGACGACCACAAGTCATAAGTGCAGGCGGAAGCCCTTGTCAGCGATGGGGACTACGAGGTCTGGAGCCAGAGCTTGGTTCAGTGCGGTCCGGCACCTCGCCGCCTTAGTCCGTCAACATAGAGGTTGCTTACAGAACTCTCGCTTTTTGCCCCTTGGGATACATGGGGCCCGACTTGTAGGTACTTGGGATATAACGGCGGGGAAAGGCCGAGATTATGTCTGAATGTGTAATTGTAGTGTTAGCTCTTGCTCCGACTTGTATCATCTGAAGAAGCGTCTTGACAGCGAAAGCCTAAACCGTAAACCCTAATACTGTTTCGTGTCTTCCGGCGGCTTAAGGAGAAGACAAACCTCTTGCTTTGGAGTGGCTACCAAGATGCGGAGCGTGAGGACGTGCTTCGGCCACTGCGAGAACAGGGCGGCTGTGTCCTGCACAGCCAGGACCGGCTTCAGAGATTGCTCCCAGCCTCAATGAAGACACCTAACCTTAGCTTTACTATTTTGGGGGTTCCTTATAATAATTAAAGTATAATGGGCCCCAAAACCCTATTCTAAGTACTAAGGCCCCTATATTTCCCCAAGCCTCCAGGTACCTACTATAGAGGGTAAGAGACCCAGGGGCCCTATATGGCAGGCACCTGGAATGTCAGGGCAAGGGCTTTGGGCTCCAAAATACCTCAACATTAGGTCACGAACCATAGAGTTTTTATACCCCGGTACCCATGATTTAGGTAAATTAAAGCCTTGTGTAAAATCATAGTAAGGACCCCTCTCTATTTTTAAAGTGTGCTATGTACCTTGATTGAAGGGTTTGGGCGTTTCGAAGGCTTCGATTATACCTGGTAGTGTTGGAAGAGAATATAGAGGCCTTATTAATAATTACCCATACTATTTTGGGGGTTCCTGAATTAGAATTATATTATAATATACACCAAAACCCTATTCTAATTATTACTGCCCCTACATTGCCATAACCCTCCAGGTGCCTACTATAGAGGGTACTAGAGACCCTGGAAACCCTAAACCCTGGCAACCCTAAACCCGAAACCCCAAACTTAAAGCCCTAAACCCGAAACCCGAAACCCGAAACCCTAAACCCTAAACCCTAAACCCGAAACCCTAAACCCGAAACCCTAAACCCTGGGAGGAGGATCCGGACACCCGGCTCGGCCAGCTCCTGAACGCTCCCGGGGTGAATACCCTGAAGTCCTGCAGCTTTCCGAAGGCGGTTTAGGGTTTAGGGTTTAGGGTTTAGGGTTTAGGGTTTAGGGTTTAGGTTTAGGGTCTAGGGTTTAGGGCTTGATACAGGGCCTGAATAATTAGAGTAGGGTTTTGGGGCCCGATATACTATAA